GATCCAGCCCGTCCTTAATTCCGCTGTCCCTGGCTCCAGCCGTCCTTAGCTCCAGCCATCCCAGCTCCCGCCTCCTTGCTCCAGCATCCCTAGCTCCAGCTGTCCTAGTCTCCATCCCCTCTGAATACCTCCAGCCTCCTTTAGTCAGCCGTATTTGAGCTTCACAGTGCATCAGTTCCAAGTATCTGCCTCCATTAGTCCAGCGTTTCAGCTCAGCGTGTAACTCCCGAGCTGTACAGCTTCTCTGACACTCTGCAAAACATTATTTACAAGAAGGATAGATCTACTTTCCTAGTATGACTCAGTGAGAGAAGAATCTTTGTGGCGTTTCAGAGGCACATGCAGAAAAGAGAAAAGGTTTGTTACTCAGTGGCTCTCAAGATCTGCGCTTCCCTTTGAATTACTTGTTTTTAGGGATGGTCAAATGAAACCACGATGAAGCTTTAATGCAACATAATTCTTATTCGCCAGAATAACAAACCAGTCCTGTAGAAAATGTAATAAATATGTTTGTCATGGTTTTGGTTCTGTTTAAGTTTTCTTTTTGAGTTTTCATTGGTTATATTTCCATTTTGTGTCATTCTAGTTGTTTTTGGATGTATTGGAGTTCTTAGGTAATTCTTGTTTGCCCTCTGGTTTCAGTCTCCTTCCCCTAACTCCCTTCTAGATTGTTTAGCCCACACCTGCTCCCAATCTATTGATTAGCCTGCTCTTTGTTCAGTCTCCCATTTTTACTCCTCCTCTGCAGTTGCTGTTTGCTGTTTCATCATCATTTCTTTGGCCTTCATGTCAATTTCCCTGGATTTAAGTATTTTGTTTGTGGACTTTTGCTGAAGCTGCTCTTTGGAACTTTATGAAATCTTCAACAAAACACCTCAGCTTCCATCTCTGCATTTGGGTCCTTCAAATCTCCCACTAACCTGACAATAGCAAATTTTGACCCAGGTTTGGAAGCCCAGGACAGACACCTCAACAAACAGGAGGAGCAAATGGCCATGTTGAACCTGAAGATGAAGCAACTGAATGCACAAGCGGGCCAGTTCATGACTTCTTTTACAACTGTTGTGCCATGAGCCATAATCGTGGTTTTTGACATTGGGAACCGGTGACCATGTTTCATCTTAACATGATAACCTGAGAAAAAGATGCAGTTTTGGCACATAAACAGCTGTGAGACCTCTCCTCTGCTCTGGAACCCACTTTTCAGCCAACTTGCTCCACAGAGGTTTGACTTGCCTCTGTGTTGAGAAAAGTAAAAGACAACAGCACACAGGATTTCATTCTCTTTCATGAAGCTGCCAGGGGGTTCAAATTAGAAGAGGCAACCACCATGGAGACAGGGCCAGATCTCTAGAATGATCAAGGATAAGTCATGATGGGTGACTTTTCAGAATCAAACTGCTGCAAAACAGACTTTTTGCAACACATCTCTCTTGAGTTTCAGAACTTACACAGACAGACTGGAGGAGAAAGTCTCCTAAAAATCCTTTGGTTTGAACCGCATGGAACGAAGAAAACCCCAATTTCTGTGAGCATGCCCTACTAAGCTGCTGATGGATGAAAATTCAAGCCTTCGAAATGGACATGGACAAAAATTTTTGCATGTCTGGCACAATTAGGGAAAGAAAAAACAATATGACTTTTGATGATCATTTCATGTGTTTACTCAATTCAGTCTATTTCTATAGCGCCAATTCACAACGCAAGTCATCTCAAGGCACTTTACAGTTCAACCAGATCATCCAGTCAGATTGAGTCAAAGTTTTCTATTAAACCAGCTGATTGCATCGACTCATTGACTCTTCAGCAATCCCTCACACTAAGCATGCTTGTAGCGACAGTGGAGAGGAAAAACTCCCTTTGAACAGGAAGAAACCTCCAGCAGAACCAGGCTCAGTGTGAGCGGCCATCTGCTGAGGCCCACTGGGGTTCAAGGAGACAGAAGCAGACATAGAAAAAGAAGCATAGATACAAAAGGCAACTGTCAACCAGCTCCACAGGCGGCCCCGTCTAGGAAACACACAGCCAGGCAGACGAGCTCCGAGCCAGCTCCCATGTCAGAGGATGAAGAGAGCACATCCAGTTAGTCACAGTCAGAGAAACAGAACTACACTGAAAAACAGGCCAAGCTCCAACATCTATAAATAAAGGATGTTTCTAAATGTTGGAACAGACCAGATGAAGCTACTATGAGGAAAAGCAGAGAGAGCAGAAGGTTAGAGATTGAACTAACAGATTCTGCAGAGTGGGAGAATAGAGATAGAATGAAGCAGAATGATGAAATGGGGGTCCCTATGTCCTCCAGCAGTCTAAGCCTATAGCAGCATAACTATAGAGATAGCTCAGGATAACCTGAGCCACTCTAACTATAAGCTTTATCAAAAAGGAAAGTTTTAAGCCTAGCCTTAAAAGTAGACAGGGTGTCTGCCTCACGGACTAAAACTGGTAGTTGGTTCCACAGGAGAGGAGCCTGAGAACTAAAAGATCTGCCTCCCATTCTACTTTTAGACATTCTAGGAACCACTAGTAAACCTGCAGATTGAGAGCGAAGTGCTCTGTTAGGAACATAAGGAACAATCAGATCTCTGATATCAGATGGAGCTTGGCCATTTAAGGTAGGGTGACCATATTTTCATTTGGGAATACCAGGACACCTTGGGGGGGTGGGGGATCTCTGTTCCCATGCATAGATATGTCTGTGGCATGCACTCACTTAACGTAGGCCTACGTAATCCTACAATAACATTATATTTACAGTTGATTTATTAAAAATGCTTTTCAGTAAAAGTCAACAGCAATAACTCCAATAACAAACGATAATTTTATTCAAAATGTATTTATTAAAAGTGCTTAACAATTCCTGTAATTAATAAATAGCACAATGAAAGAAATAATGTCTCATCATCGGGATTTGCTCCGTGATCAGAGGAAATGTTACTTGGCCCCGAACAGTGGTGAAAATTGGAAGTTCAGTTTTAATATAATCCAAGTCTGTGAATAGTTCCGTCTGAAATGAATGAACATAGTTGTTTTAATGGTTATTGAGTCAGATATGTGGCGGTAATGTTTGATTTATCTAAAGGTTTTTATCTGTTACTGTGTAAATGAGTTTGGCTGTAATTTAAGGACAGATTCTAATAAATCTACAGAGTGGGAACTATAAATCTGATAGGAGTTTAATTTATTTATTGCTGTTTTGCACAATATGCTTAACTAAGTATTTTTTTATTTTGAATATTAGAGATTTTGCAGATATATTTTATATACACACATTGTTTAGATTTACTTATATATTTCTACCCCTTTTATGGAATAGAAAATCTCTTTATTGTCCCACAATGGGCAAATTTACAGCAGCAGAAAGATTATTGAAAATGGTCACACAAATGAGGACCTTAGAAAAATGTATAAGAATAACATAATAGGGAAGAGTTAAAATATAAACAATACAATTCTGTAAAGTGTTTTAACAATATAAAAGCAGCAACATCAGAGATGTGCAGAATGACAGCAGCAGGTTATTTAACTGACTAAAGTTTCTATCATTACATTTAATTTTATTTGTTCCTGCTCCCGGTGGTTGGAACATTTATTCCACTCCGGATTCTTGTGAGTGTAGTCTTTGTTCACTTTAACTTTTTAAAAAATAAATAAATAAACAGTTTTGAAAACCTCGGTATTCATTCTTTTCCTGCTTTGTGTGTCAACTTTCACGGTTGCTAAGCAACAGAGCATACGCCGGTAAAACCCGTCGAAGGGTAGACCTGGTCGAATTCACAGCCAAAACTCTTGCGGCCTCCTTATTTTCAAGGACATTGAAGGATCCAGTCTAGGTAGACCGCGTCCTTGAAGGATGCAGCCCAGGATTTCGAACAGAGCCTCTGATTAAAAACAGGGCTGCCCGCACTGACGCGGCTCAGGGATTACGTCACACGGAGCGTCGAAAAAATCAGGACATTTCCCCACTTCCTAAAAAAAACCCGGGACAGGACGTGAAATACGGATATGTCCCGGGAAATACGGACGTTTGGTCTTTATATGTGAGAAGGAGGATTTTAAATTCTATTCTGGATTTAACAGGAAGCCAATGAAGAGAAGCCAGGATAGGAGGGATATGATCTCTCTTTTTCATTTCCATCAGAACTCTGGCTGCAGCATTTTGGATCAGCTGAAGGCTTTTAACTACAGTTTGTTTACTGTTGAGTCAAGACAACGCTAACAGAATGGACTGCATGCTACGCTATGCTACAGGAATATGTGTTGAGCTGTTGCTGAAGCTTGGACAAGCTTTATTTCACTAAGAGTTAAACACTGATATAACATTAGTGTTCATGTGTTCCTCAGATGCTCATTACATTTCCATCCAAGAGTCATTTAGAGGAATCCTGATGTCTATTCGCTGCTAGCTATTTCAAAGAGGGTAAAGAATCATTTAACTAAAGGTTATTGGTTCTTGATTAAGCAAATCATTCAATAAAACATTATTTGGCCAAATAATGTTTTATTCACCTCATGGATTTGCATTGTGAATTGGTCTGAAAACATTCCCATTTCTCTAAATTAGTGAAAAGCTAATTTGATCACATCCCAATACATAATAGTTTAGTTTAGTTTAGTTTAGTTGAGTTTCTCTAGTCTTAGTTAGTGTTAAACTGAAATATGTTTGAACAGAAGTTGTGGTGAATTTATTCCATCTATGTGCAGAATTAACTGTTTGACCATGATTAGTGCTCGTATCACTCTTTCATTTATTGTTCTAACACACAGCTAGTAGGGAGTGTGTTCATAAACGGTATATAACAGACGAAATAATATCTGATTAAATAAGATATTTACCACCCCTACAGGGGAGGACAATAAACATCTTAAAGTATCAGAAATAATAATATGAATAATGTGCTCCTCCTGATCCGGCCAGCATCTCTGTACCTCCTTTCTATTGTCTTTCTCCTCTAAAGGATGGTTCATTGAAATAGCTGTTCTTCATTTTGCAGTAATACCTTGGTGGCTGATTAGCTCATTACTTCCGTTCTTCTATCTTCCAGTCCCTCCTGTGTCGCAGCGTTTCCGTTGGGAGCTCATTATCGCTGGGCATGAAGTTGACTGTCAGGGTCTCGGCTGATTTGCCGCATCCTGGATCCCTCCTGTCGCCGAGTGCCGCTGACTGAGGGTGTTGTTGAGCTGCGTGTCTGTGGGTGGAGAGCCGGGTTGAGGAATTCGCTCGGAGCTCTGGGGAGCATCTCAGAGCGTCTCTCTCTACACGTTGCTGTTTGTTCCACCACCATGACTGGCGTCATCATCGGGGAACAACGACCACTGATGTGGGACGTTTGCAGACCGTTTCCTGCAGGTCTGCATCCTGTTTGTAGTGTTCAAAGGCTCCAGTCAGGATCCACGTCTGGAGCAGCCTGAGCTCCTGCAGTGACCTGAACTGGTTGTTTGGCAGATGAACACCTTTAATAAGGAGACTCCTGATTGGACAGGAAGGTTTACAGTGCAGTTCGAAGCAGCGACATTAATCATCACATCTGAAAGCTGGAAAAAAAGCTGCTCATCTTTCCTTGGGGGTCTGTGGAGACTCTAACTCTAATTAAACATTAGATAGAAAACTCACTCATTACTGATATTATTCATCTTTTTAGATTCCTGCCATATTTACGTTTATGTCCTGCTTTTTTTACAGATTTTAAAATGAAAACCCTTTGAGTTTAAAATGCGTGAGCTGTCAGGCGGTCATGAACACTTCTTCTCACCAACTTTATTCAATCTGTTAATCTTCCATGAGGAGCGTCAGATATTATAGTTTCTATACTTAAAGAATCAGCATCTTTAGGGGAATCATCTGAAAAGGTTTGTTGGTTTTCTGCCTTAAACAGTTTGGCTATACCTAAAATAATAGTTACATCAATGTAGATGTATGAAAATAGATGATATAAACACAGGTTAACTGTCTTAAGATTTAAATCTGAAAAACTCACACAAAGAGAAAAGACATTAGGAGAAATTTATTGATACGATAACTTTAGTCTTTGCACTGAGTTTTGGTAGATATGCTTGAACAGGAGCAAAGAACAGGGCTGTTTCCCCCTCAGGCCTGAAACTGGTGGTGGAGTGGAGATAGATGGAGTTGGTCAGTCTGTAGACTGCTGGTTGACTGATTGGCTTTTGTGGAGGTTTGGTTCAAAGCTGATTGGCTGTTACGGTGAGTAATCAGTTTATTCAGTTGAACTTCCACCTAGGCTCCATGTTAGCACTCAGTTTTACAGATTATATGGACACTGCAATGTAAGTAGAACAGGAAAGGAAAAACAGAAAAAAGGAGAAAAGATTAAAGAAAGAAGAGATAAAAGGGAGATAATGATAAAACATTTTCAGTCTGCTTCATCACCTGCAAAGAGATGTAAAAAGAACAGAACAACCAACAGACATGGTACGAGACTTACAATAAAGTAACACCTAGATTCTATCACTGAAGTATAAGTGGTATTATTTAATCTGACATGTACTCTGTGTTACCTGAAGATCAGAATATGGGCTTTCTGCATGGAAGTGAATTCCAGTTTTTCTGGTTTTAAACCTTAATAGAAGTTTGGAGAGTCTGAGCAACTTACAGGGAGACCAGAGTTCCTGTGGACCAGGCCAGGAGGTCAGCGACGTCCTGGCCTGGTCCATCATCTTCAGTTGACTCGCCTCACTTTGGGCTCCTTTCATGTTCCTCCCTGTCTGATCTTGTGGTTCTCCAGTCCTCCCATTCTTCCCAGTACACCTCCCTCCCCCCCCACGCTGACAGCTGCCTCTCTGCTGGAACAGGAAGCGTTGGGGACTCTGGGACCAGGCAGGTTTGTGTTTATTTGCAGATAGGAAATATTGAGATTTTCAGCAAACAAACTTTCCTTCAGTCTGGATCCCAGATGGATGAATGGTTTCAGTGCTGATAGATGTTAGGCTTTCTATGTGGCGGCAGGCGGCAGCGGCGGCGCTCACTGGAGGAATGAGGGGAGATAAAACATGTCCTCCTTCCAGCAGAGGAGTTCCTCTCTGCCTGCATCTTCAGCTGCACAAACTTCCCTTTATCTGATTTTGGTTTAAACCATCTCCAGATTATTCTCCACTTTCCTTCGTTTTCTAATGGAAGCAGAACCAGTTAATGCTCCTGGAGAATCACGGATGGAGAACCAGATCCTTCTAGCAGTCTCTGCTTCCCCTCTGAATGGATTACCACCTCAGTCTGCAAGCAGTTCTCCAAACTCCAGATTATTTCACTCGGCTGCTCAGAAGCAGAAAAGCAGCAAACCGGACCACCTGGAGCGGCGGATAAAACTGTCTCTGATGTAAATTACAATCCAGACGGAGAATTTGAAGAACCTCCAATAGTCAGTTTGGACTTTAGGAAATCTCCTTCTACACTAATGGATTAAATAATGTCATAAAAAACTGCAAGGCTGAAAAATGTCCTTTCCTTTATTTCCTCTCTAACAGAATGAGATGATTTAACAACCAGGACCACCTCAGATACTCTGGACACGATGAACCTGCAAATGATGCAAATGTCTCTTCATCAAACAGCTGAAGGTTCAGGCTGAGATGAACCTGTGGGAAAAAGGAACCACCAACTTTAATCTGCTCCTCAGATCACATGAAGGGCTCCTCACCAGCTAGTTGCTAATGCTAATGGTTCGGCTGTCAGGCTCCATCTCTCCATCTTCACCTCCTCTGGCATCTTTCAAACTGTTCTAACGTCTCATCCCTTCCCCGCTCTCTCTCATTGTTTGCTTTAATTCAGTCGATGCTCTGCGGATTAAATCCCATAATTCTAATCTAGTATTTATAAATCCTTTCATGGTATATAACCGACGCCGGCCCTGAGTTTCTCTAACTTGGCACCCCGTGCTGCTGAGTGGGTAGACCCAGTCAGGAACTCACCACAGGCTACGCTAGAGCTGAAACACATTCAGTCTTTATTCTCACTGTCCAGAAACACTCATGGACTTCTGAGCTGCAACTGTGAAATTAGCCTAAACAAGCTAATCCCTGTGAGTGGGTGGGAAGAGGGAAAACATGGGAAGATATAAAGCAATGGAAATCTAAAAAATAACAGCAGCATTTTAAACTCAGTCTGTCTAAAATCTTCCATTTGATGCTTTATTGCATTTATTTGATGCTGATTAAACTGATGAAGATAATGTGATAATAAAAAAAAAAGATATCGAGTGCCTTTCAAAATAACAATCACTTTAATAGGAAGAGTGAACATTAAAACATGAATTTGACTCAATCATAGATAAAAACAAAATTAAAGGTTCAAATAAAGATCAGAGTGAAAGCCATCAGTTTGAAGAGCGAGGAGCAGGAAGTTGAACCAAAGGCGGCTTTTCCAACATTTCTGTTCTTCTCTTTAAGGAATCTTTTAAAAAGATCTAAAGGAATCAGATCGGTGACTCAGCAGCTCAGCCATGTCTCTGGCCGTGGTTCTGAATGCTTGGTTCCCCTCCTTAGCTAGCCATGGTCCTGATCTGTAAGCGCTAAGTGCAGAAGCTAATGAAAGAAATACATAAGTACTGAGCTTTATTTATTGATCATTTTGGCTGATTGTTTGAATGAGAAAAAAGCATAAAATCCAGATGCTGTTTTCTTCTTTTTTACAGGGTGAATATTTAGGTGATTAATCTGGGATATATTTAGCTATTGCCTTATTTTTAATTTTAGGTAGTTTAGAAAATGTTGAGCAGGTTCCTAAAATCAACCTTCATCATTAAAACTGTGAATATAGAGACAGGGAGCAACCGACAGCTAACGATGCGCTAATGGGTCGATGTTGAATGGACCGTAGTGGTCATGCTAACGGGACTGGGTTGAATGGACTGTAGCGGTCATGCTAACGGTATGGGTTGAATGGACCGTAGTGGTCATGCTAACGGGACTGGGTTGAATGGACCGTAGCGGTCACGCTAACGGGTTGGGGTTGAATGGACCGTAGTGGTCATGCTAACGGGTCGGCGTTGAATGGACCGTAGTGGTCAGGCTAACGGGTCGGCGTTGAATGGACCATAGCGGTCATGCTAACGGGTCGGCGTTGAATGGACCGTAGCGGTCATGCTAACGGGTTGGGGTTGAATGGACCGTAGCGGTCATGCTAACGGGTCGGCGTTGAATGGACCATAGCGGTCAGGCTAGCGGGTCGGCGTTAAATGGACCGTAGTGGTCATGCTAACGCGTCGGCTATGAATGGACCGTAGCGGTCATGCTAATGGGTCGGGTTGAACGGACTGTAGCAGTTATGCTAACAGGACAGGGTTGAATGGACCGTAGTGGTCATGCTAACGGGTGGGGGTTGAATGGACGGTAGTGGTCATGCTAACGGGACAGGGTTGAATGGACCGTAGCGGTCATGCTAATGGGTGGGGGTTGAATTTCATGAAATTCCAATGGGACCCAATGATCTAAGCTTGTCTGTTTATTGGAAAAATGTCAGTCATTAGATCTGTTATGCATTTTAAACAGGTTTGAATGAGATTAGTCTTGGTTTGGGATCCCAGTTTATATCAGAGTCTTGCTTTTTACCCAGTTCGAGGTTTAACTGGAGTCTTTCCAAAGAGGAAGCAGAATTGTTAGGTATTATTCGTTATCCTGTCTGGATCAAACCATCCTGTCACAGAAAATCAGTTCCCAAAGTCTAGATTTTTATTTTAACTGGAACAAAGTCCAACCAGCTGCTCAGCATAGTGTTCCCTCAGGCTGACAGGGTTCAGAAACAAGCCCATTCATCGGCCCTGCCATGTTAGCACGTCGTTTCCTCGCTAACTATGTGGAGAAAATGAGGAGGGAGTGAAGGCTGGGGTGATACGGTAAGAGACGAGAAAGGATGGAGGGACGATGAAGGCCTGGCAGCATTCAGCAGATGCTTCATAGAGTCAGTCCAGTGATATCAGACGGCCACTGACAGACAGAAGGGAATGCCAAGGTTAGAATGAGTGCTGAAAGCAACAATCCTCTCAGCTTAAGCTGGATGAGCTGAAGAGGAAGTGGGAAGATGGGCTTCGTTCTTTTCACAGCTAACACCCAAATATCTGTTTTTCAGCAGAAATTAGGCAGAAGCAAAAGTTTTCGCCATTTTCTGAGGAGATGATGACCAGGTCCTCCAGCACCAGCATGTGTTTCCAGCAGCTGGTGAAGCTACAGCAGCTAAGAACATCCTGATAATCCTGAGCATCAGTTAGAAGCCATGTTTTCCCCACCTGATGAAGGTATCATCACGTTCAGCAGGACTAATACATCAGTTATTCTCTGCTTCCCACAGCATCATGGAGGAGACAATCAAACCATAGAAATCCAGTCGGCCATTGTGACACGTTGCTTAGCAAATCCTGCTGATGAAGCAGAGCTGAGAGCGATTTACCAGAACCTTGCGCATGTGCAAACAAGGAAGTTCTTCTTCTTCTTCCAAGGTGTCTGGTCAGATCGGCGCCATCCATCGGCGCTGAGTCTGATGTTTGGTTTCTGGACGTTTAATGTCAGAACAAACATGGTGAGCGGTGAACTGATAAACTCTGTTGTTTCATCGTACAGTTTGAGCTGTAGCTGCGTACAATGATTGTAAACATGCACTAGTGGACGCCCCGCTTTAAAAGATTGGGATTCAAGAAGCAGGCTGCAGCACTGCTTAGAAATCGGCTGCTAGAACCGTCCCTCAGATAGGAGTTTAGTGTTCAGACATGGCAACCGCGGACACTTTAGCTTAGATGTCTTTACTGATTTGAGATGTTTGGATCTTATACCATCATGCATGAGGAACCACCACATCTGAAAAGTATATTTGTATTTCTTTGGTCTGTTTGGTTCTAGTTCGCCCATCTCTATAGTCTCCTTAGTTCTCTAGTTCTTTGCTGTGGTTTTGTTCATAATATTGTTTAAGACTTTTGATGATCATTTTATGAATATTTATTCAAACCCAGGATGAGTTGGACCCCTTGTCTTTGTCAGGGTTTCGTCCTGATGCTTTAATGTCATCTAGTCAACAAGAAGTATCGATTCAATTATCAATTCAGTTTATTTCTATAGCTCCAATTCACACCATGTCATCTCAGGTCACTTTATAGATCCAGATCAACCAGATCCTCCAGTCAGATTAGTTCAAAGTTTTCTGTCTAAGGAAAACCAGCTGATTGCATCGACTGATTGACGGAGTTCAAATCCAGCGGCTGCTTCCTCCAAAGATTCATCTGCTGATGATGTCATAGCGTGGCGTTGAGGCCTGGTCCGATTGGAATGCTCCTCGTTATGCGGCCGATAAATTCAGAATCATTTTCATACTTAGTTGGTATGAAGACATTGTCTGAGATCAGGAGACATTGACCTAATACGGGACCGTCCATCAGATCAGCAGGTGGATCTTCCTGTTTAAACTGCTCTGATCCAGTTACCGCCTGCTGCTTTCCCTCTAGTCTTTGTCAAGAAGCTAAACTTTTGATCATTTTTATTGTCTCGTGTCTCTCTTATAGAAATCAAGCATGTATGGGTTTAATAAAGGCTCCTGATCGGAGGGCAGCCTGCAGCTGTCTAATGGTTTGTGTGTCCGTCCATCAAAGCCTTTTATTACTCTTCATTTAGGGCGTGTTCCGATGAATGACTTCATGCAGCTCCTATCAACCCTTCTGCTTCTGCTGCCGTCGGTGACGCCGCTGAGCTCCTTCCATTTTCATTTAGACGTCTGTGCTTAGATTGATATGAATATTTCCTTCCTATTAATATGCTGAGCCGGTCTAAATGTTTTAATATTTGCTCTGTAAAGGATTGAAAGCGGCTTCCTCTGCAGAAATGTTTCTTCCTGGATGTTTAAACAGCAACAGATCCTGATGTTTGCATGGCCTCTGTTCATCTGTGACCTCCATGTTTCCATCCAGCGCTCCTCTGAAGGATGGAAACAGATTCTGTAATCAGCTCATCTCACTTCCTCTCATCTATTGCCGTCCCCGTGCATTTCCCCCCCACACCACACACCCCTCCCCCCTCACACACACGGCGGATATTATTGTAAAATCCCTCGTCTGATGTTCCATTAGACACAGATGCCGCCGCAGCAGCTACGGCGATAAAGTTGGCGTTTCAAGTGACTGAGCTCAGCAATTTATTAAAAGCGGGTTGAACGCCGGCGGTGACAGATGCTGTCGCCTGCCGCTGTTCACACACGTGTGCTGTCTGTTGTGGCGAAAGATGGATCGGAGTACAGATTGTAAGTGACATGTTAATTTCTTCTCCGTCACTCACGGCCGCTGCATTAGCTCAGTGAAGGAGCGGCAGGCTGAGCGGTTCTCCCTCTATTATCCTCTTTCTTTACTCTTCTTCCTGTCCTTACATTTTCCTTCACTTTTCCAGATCAAAGAAACGTTTCACTTAGCTTTTTGCTCCACGCCTTCAAGCTGCTTGATCTCCTAAAGATTGCTCTTCATGTGGCCTTATGCATCGCAGCGCCTGCTCAGATTGAGAGGACTCTAGGTCAGGGTTGGCGGCGTCAGTCAGACTGGATAAGGATTGACGGCCATTAACTAAACGAGGGTCCAGCAGCTCGCTGCCACTGATCATATCTTTCTTTAAGCCGTTCGCTGCTCTTTCTTTCAGTGCTGAATGTTTTAGCAGAGCTGATATTTGTGGTTTGTAACAGTAGAACCTGCTGTCATGGCGTCTGGAAGTGAAGCTCAATGGTTTCCTCTCACTGTGTCTTTCTGCAGGCAGCCTTGGTACTATGGCTGGGGCTTCAACCTACCGCGGGGCCAGGCTCTTCTGGACAAATGGAACCAGATTCCGGACAACACAGACATCCTGGTGACACACTGCCCCCCACTGGGTGAGATATGCACTGCAGTGTTTGCAAATGACACAAACAGGATTTGAAAAATCTCCAAATAGTGAGTTATGTATAAAACCGGAAAACATCCCAGTGATCAATTCTTTTCACCATAGCTCTTCCTCTAGCTGCTAACCCAGCTAATGGGGGCCAGCTCTAGTAGAACTAGAGTCTTTGGTCTCCATTGGTCTTCTGGACTAAAGTGACTATAGTGAAATGTCTTTAATTGTGATAAGAACTCCCAAACACACACTCACTGTCACATTAATGCAATATTTTCATAAAATCCTTAAGCTAATATTCACCTTCAGATTTGGCATAAAATCATCTACACTTAAAGATATCTGCTCCTGGAAAAAGATCCTTAGGTCTGAAATTGAAAGTTCTCACAGTTATTTTCATGATATTTAGCTCTGGACCTGAACCTGGGCAGCAGCTCAGGTTAGCAACTCAGGCTAACAGCTCAGGCTAGCAGCTCAGGCTAACAGCCCAGGCTAGAAGCTCATTCTAGCAGCTCAGGCTAACGGCTCAGGCTAGCAGCTCAGGCTAGCAGCTCCTGCTAGCAGCTCAGGCTAACAGCTCAGGCTAGAAGCTCATGCTAGCAGCTCAGGCTAACAGCCCAGGCTAGAAGCTCATACTAGCAGCTCAGGCTAACAACTCAGGCTAGCAGCTCAGGCTAACAGCCCAGGCTAGAAGCTCAGGCTAGCAGCTCAGGCTAACGGCTCAGGCTAGCAGCTCAGGCTAGCAGGTCCTGCTAGCAGCTCAGGCTAACAGCTCAGGCTAGAAGCTCATGCTAGCAGCTCAGGCTAACAGCTCAGGCTAGCAGCTCAGGCTAGCAGCTCAGGCTAACAGCTCTGGCTAGCAGCTCAGGCTAACAGTTCAGACTAGCAGCTCAGGCTAACAGCTCAGGTTATCAACTCAGGCTAGCAGCTCAGGCTAACAGCTCAGACTAGCAGCTCAGGCTAACAGCTCAGGCTAGCAGCTCAGGCTCACAGCTCAGGCTAACAGCTCAGACTAGCAGCTCAGGCTAGCAGCTCAGGCTAACAGTTCAGGCTAACAGCTCAGGTTATCAGCTCAGCCTAGCAGCTCAGGCTAACAGCTCAGGCTAGCAGCTCAGGCTCACAGCTCAGGCTAACAGCTCAGACTAACAGCTCAGGCTAGCAGCTCAGGCTAACAGTTCAGGCTAACAGCTCAGGTTATCAGCTCAGCCTAGCAGCTCAGGCTAACAGCTCAGGCTAGCAGCTCTGGCTCACAGCTCAGGCTAACAGCTCAGACTAGCAGCTCAGGCTAGAAGCTCAGGCTAACAGTTCAGGCTAACAGCTCAGGTTATCAGCTCAGGCTAGCAGCTCAGGCTAGCAGCTCAGGCTAACAGCTCAGGCTAGCAGCTCAGGTTATCAGCTCAGGCTAATGCTGCGTTCACAGCAAACACAGCAGCAGCAGCTAGTTTACATGCAAAGTCAATGGTTGAAGTGCGTCAAGGCGCAGCAAAACGTCCCGAAGCATGTTTTGAGGAGCAGGGGCAGGGCGTCTAAGCAGCTAAAGCAGCGTTTTGGTAGCGTTTAAGCATCTGGCGCGCGCGACGCACAGCAAATGCGCTGCTGCTCGAGATGGAATTTTTTTTTGCTCTTCTACTTTATTCCCACTGATCACAGCAAATATAGCTGCATGCAAAGAAAGGATAGGGTAGCTTTGCCAAACGCGCGTCAGACACACTTTTTCCACCTCGCAGCTGGAGCAGCAAAGATGCTTCAGCCGTGTGTCAGAACTAAACTGGTACAAGCATCAAAGATGAAGCAGCAGACGCGTTTTTGCTGCTCCTGCGTTTGGTGTGAACGCAGCTTAATAGCTCAGGCTAACAGCTCAGGCTATCAGCTCAGGTTAACAGCTCAAGTAAACAGCTCAGGTTAGCATTAGGCTAATTCCTCTTCAAGGTTTTTTAAAATCTTCTCTGTGTTTTATGATCTCGGCAGAAATTGGTCACAATTGACGATAAAGATTCTGGAATTTGTCTTTAATGCCAGAAGCTAACACAGTTACTGAGTTTGTTTAGGCCAAGACTGTCACAGGGACCATATTCAGATCAATTGTTCACCAAGACAAAAAATAGTTCATTAAAACACTCAGTGAGAAGATGTCTGCAACGTTTCCATGAAAGAATGAATTTTGTGTGGGTGGTGGCGATCAGAGGAAGTTCTCATCCTGGGAGGCAGGCTGAGGACTTCTGGAGCTCATGGTCCCAGGAACCCAAACCCCGTCGCTTTGGTTACTGCAGAAATATAGCTTTAAAAAAAAATGGTGGAATAGCTGGATTGTCACCTGGATGTCATCACCTTGTTTAGCAGAGACCATAGGAAGGTGTTTTCATCTTCTCTTCATAGCTGGTGGTTGTGGTTCCAGTCCCCCTCCATTCCACACCGGTGTGATCTTAGATCCCAGTGCCTAGCTTTTGTCTAACCCTACATGTGTTTCTCAGAACAAAGGGCCTGAGAAACACAGGAGCTGACTGACGTCCTATTCTATGCTCATGCTTCCACACACAGCCATCAGCCTCGTACACGCACTCACACCTTCACACCTCATCTCCTGCTGCAGCTGTGCTGCTCCGACAACTGTTCATGATTGATTTCTGTGTTTGCATCTCAGCTTTGAGCGCTGCAAATTATTTTTCATTCAGCTTAGCCAAGTATGTGCTCACAAGCTGCCAGCATATGGAGCAGCTACAGCAGGCTACTGGAGCATGACACATCCTCACTCAGATGCAAAAGCTAAGTGACTGACATGGGAGGAAGAGACAGATGTTGACATAAACTTTACAAATGTTTTCTTCTCCTGTTGAAAAGAGGAAGAAATTAATGAGAAATGATGAAGAAAAGATCAGAGTGAGCGAGACGCAGCTTAGCGCTGCAGCAGAGGTTCTTATTCAGTTCAGTTCTTGTATACAGCAACAATTCACAACCGGCGTCAATTAAAGGCACTAAGGAGGGGAGACAAAGCTACATATCAGAGAGAAGACAGTCGTCTTCTTTATCTGGACATGAGGAGGAAGTTAACATCATCATTGCTGGGGTGAGACTGAGAAAAAAACGAAGACAGACAACGACACCTCAACTGCCTCCTCTTGATGTGGAGGAGCAGCAGCTCTCATCTGTCAAAAGCAGAGACCCGATCCTAAGGCCACCTAAACTGATCTCCTCAATACCTTGGCTGCACCTAGACATTATGTCCACCAACCTTGGTTGGGTCCAACCCTCATTGGAGACGAGTCTGACTTACTGCCAGAATGCGGACCAGGCTCTGACACCAGTCATACAGAGTCCTAACAGCCCCTATTAAACCACCCAGTATTCCATACCCCCAGAGTACCACCCATAGGCCCCCCCGAGTGACACGGTCGAATGCATTCTCCAGATCCACATGGAACTTGTAAACTGGTTGGGCAAATTCCCATGCACCCTCCAGAATCTTGCTGAGCTTTTCAACCACCTCAATGACTTCAGCACCAGAGATGGGAGAACCCGAACCCCCCCAGACTCTGCTTCCTCAATGGAAGATGTGTTGGTGGGATTAAGGATGTCTTTGAAGGACTCTGCCCACCAAGGTCAGCAGCACACCACCCCCACTATAAATAGTGTTGGTACTGCAATGCTTCCCCCTCCTGAGACGCCGGATTGTGGACTTTCTCCATGGTTTCTCCAAACTGGTGTCAGCCAGCGTGTTTGAGGGTTGCCAGTGCGTCACATTGCGGCCACAGCTTTGACTAGCCACGTCAAAAATAGAGGCACGGATAATGGTCCACTCAGACTCAATGTCCCCCTCCTCCCTCGGAACTTGTCCAAAGCTCTCAAAGAGGGAGCTCTGGTCCTCAAAAGAATGTCAAAAGGACCAGAAAGTTCACGTTTTGGACAAAGAAGACAGGTGGTTTGAAAGGGGTGTGAAGGAAGCCATCTATGTTAAACCAATATTGAACAGAGGGGAGTGGACTCAGGTTTCAACTTTCAAAAACCTACAATACAGCGATAGAGTTGATTACTTCCCACTATCATCACAGCCCCAACCACCTATTAAGCCAGGCCAACAATTCCCTTTAACGACCCCCCTTTCAGTGACATAGACAGGAATCGGTTATTGCAGGCTAACAAAGAACCAAAAGAAGTTTTTATTTTTTTTGTTCCACTCTACAAAGCCTGGAACTCAACGCTATTTCAGACATTTGAATTTAGAAAGCCTCCTGGATGGGAAGAGAAACATCTTCAAAGTCCAGTGGATTGTTTTTAACTTTTTTGGAATGACTATAACCGGGATGACTGAGTATCACACCAGAATAAACGCCAACCTACCAAGATGAGGGGCAACAAGTCTGCGCCTCTCACCAGGGGCAGCTGCAGAGTGGAAGAATGTCCAGCCTCTCTCCAGGAGACTGGTCCCAAAGCCAGAGCCATGAGGTACATCCAACTATCTGTAGCCAGGACCTCTCAGCCAAACACACTACCTCAGGCTCCTTCTCCCGCAAAGAGTTGACATCACACAATGCACCCCACCCCTTTGGCCCCTCCTGCAGGTGGTGAGCCCATTGGAAGGGGGATCCATGTTTCCTCTTCAGGCTGTGCCCGGCCGGGCTCCATGCTGGACTACAGAAACCACATGCGTTTCAACTTAAGATGCAGGCACCACAAAATCCTCCTCAATAGTTTAAATCTTTGCTCCTCAGTGAAATGTCACAGAGCTAGGAACATCCTCCTGAAAGCACAGCACCAGCTAATTAGCCAACACATCAGACAGATACATTTCACTACGTGCTGAAAGGGAAACTTGATCAGACAGGTGTGCAACTGTACGCAGCACTTCCCAGGGACATCATGGATGACGCTTTCAAGTTTGCAGTGAAGGCCAACATGTCCCAGCACTACAAAGGCAAAAACATAGATTCCCCATCCTCCAGTCCAGACCGACCACCTCAGAGGAACTCACATTTGCAAATCAAAGTATTCACAGATAAGAAGAATTTTTCCAACAGGACCCTTACCCAGCCTGAAAATGAACTATGCAGCATCCCCTTAACAGATCCCCGCATTGGATCTCATCACAGTCACGGAGACAGCCATCAGAAACAACAAACTGACCTTCATAAAAGCTGAACAACTTCGGCTGAAGGTCACTGCATCTCTCTCCAGGGCAAAGGCTCCCCCTTCAAACCTGACCATTCCAGAAAGGAAAGCTCTGAAAGTCCTCCAAAGAGACAAGGACATAATCACATTACCAGCGGAGAAAGGAATATGCATGGTCGTACTTTACACAACCAACTACCACGCCGAAGTTAAAGCCCTCCTTGGTGACACGGCCACCTATAAATCACTGAAGAATGACCACACCAGCAGCAAGAAGAAGAAAGTCATCGGCTAGCTTCATCTACTGGATCTATGGCCTCCCAAAAATACACCAGGAAGGAGCTCCACTCAGGCCCAACATCTCACTCACATCCATGCTCCTTTGGTTAGCAACACACCACATCACATTGCTAATTCACAGAACTTCCACAGCAGGATAAAGAGCCTGGCACTGGACACGGATGAGATCATGGTCTCCTATGATGTCTGATGTCTTCCCCACCAAAGAAGCCGTCTCCACCATAAGTATGTGTTTACTTCAAGACCACCCTCTGCCAGATAGGACCAACCTGACCAATCTGACCACAACTGATCCCTCTTGGACTTGTGCCTCACCACCACATACTTCCAATTCAACCAAGCTATCTACAGGCAGAAGCATGGACTGGCTGTCCTGTAGCTCCTATAGTGGTGAACTTATACATGGAAGAAGTGCAAAGCAGAGCTCTACACTCATACATGGGAACAAAACATTGGAGACAAAAACTGGTTCATCTCAAAGATAAAACACCCAGAAACCAGGCCGACATCATGGTTTACGCCACAGGCGTCAAACTGGTTCCATAAAGGGCCATGTGGCTGCAGGTTTTCTTTCCAACCAAGCAATAGCGCATAAGACTACAGTCATCTCATCAAGTGAGTCCAATCTGAACATGATGACTTGATGAGATGACTGGAGTCTGGTGTGCTTTTGTTGGGTTGGAAAGAAGACCTGCAGCCACATGGCTCTTTCTGGAACCAGTTTGACACCCCTGGTTTACGCCATTCAGCGTAGTGAAGAGAGCACAGACCTGTAGATTGGAAAGACCAAGCAACCGCTAAAAAGGAGCATGGCTCAACACAGGTCAACTCCTCAGGACAGGACTCAGCCGCTCACTCTAAGGAGAAAAACATCCTGATTGTGGCCAGGGAAGACAGATGGTTCGAGAGCAAGGTTAAGGAAGCCATCTTTGTTAACCCGGAAAAAACATCTCTCAACAGATGAGGTGGTCTTAGACAGAACCTTTCACCTTCATCCAAAGCACTTTTAGTGTTTAGTTTTAGAACAATACCCAGAAGATTCACCTCTCACCTGAATCACACTTCAATCAGACATGTGACTGAAACCACTCTGACAAGGAGTTAATGAGTCATCAGCCATCAGACCCCCTACCCACCATTAACTCTCCAGGTGACCTCCATGGCCAATCCATTAGGAGGCTCCTTTAGTTCCCTCTCATTCTTTCTTCACGTCCAGTTGCCTAAACTGACCAGGACCTGGATGACTATGACTCTTCACTGATTCAGAGAAGTGAACCTTGTTCCAAAATGCTGGTTTGTTTCTCCTGTTTTCCATTTTCTTTCTTGTTTGCTTCATTTCTCTCTCGTCTTTTGTTTTCACTTCATCATTGTTTTCTTTGACAGGAGGAGAGAAATTAGCCTCAGACTCGTTTTATTCCTGCGACTAGATGCTTTTATGACTCAGCGTCAGCAGCATGCCTCCTCACTGTGCAGCCATTAAATCCTACACAGTCCACGCTCCATCCTTGTCACGCGTGCCGTGAAGTCTGCGTCTGAGTGAGCCTTTGATGGATCTTTATTTTCTATGACTGCCTGTTCTTACCCTTTGTGCTGTGCTGAGCAGTTTACCATCCCACAAGCTGCCTGCCATGAAAAGCTTTCTTTGACAGAGTGACGTATTACCAATTTAGGGGAGGAGGAATTTATAACCTTCACTCAGGCGAAAAAACGCTGGAAATCAACCCAAAGCATCAAACATCCAATTAAGTGGATTTCTGAAGCATTGTTGGAGAAAGGCAGGACTGATAAACAACATGCAGAGCTGAAGGTTTCCTGAAGATCCCTGGAAATGAGTCACACCCAGTTTCTCCCATTTCTTCATTCTTCAATTTATTTCATTGTTTATGAGTAAAAAAATGGTTTATTGATGAGAAATAACCAAAATGTTGTAAGTTTGTATTTAAGCGCCTTCATTGTAAATCCTTTCCTCTGTGTTATCTGCTCCATTAACACATACATTTATTGTGATGTATTTGTATAATATGTTATATTACATGATTTATAGACTTTATTGACTTGTTCGATGCTTTAGCGCACTGATTGTTTGCATTGGGACCGGTCTAACTGGGGAGTACCAATATGGCGGCCTGTGACATCTCAGCACCGTGTACTACCAATGGCTAACACTGCTAGTGGTGATTCACCTGCTGAAGTTTACTTTATTCTATAATGACATTTCTGTCACTAATATCACATCTGCATTGTGGTTTCTGCACCTTCAGCACCAGTTTCAACGTGGCCATGAATGGAGAAAATCATTTTTATGATCTAAGCCAAGTCTGCATAGATATAACAACAAGCAATTCTACAAATACCTTAAGAATGGGAATGAACCAGGAAATGACCAGGGATACAGACTCACCAATCACACGGAGTCCCACATTGAGAAGTCTCTATTTCATTATGTTTTCAGGAGGAGAGTGAATTTAAATGACTAAATCATCTAGTTCAGTCCATCATCCTGACTAGGAGGTGATGAACCACTCAGCTGTGGATCAGTGGAAGTTTTTTTTTCAACCAGACGTAGATCTGTGACATAGACCTGCGATATATTCAGCTGCAGTAGCCACTCTTTAACCCATAGGTGGCAGCACTGAGATGGTTTGAGGCCAAACCGAATCAAAAACTTTCCTCGGAAATATCCAAATTTGGACATTAGCATCAAGCTAACAGCATTAAGAACCTACTTTTACAGTTTAGCTGTTTTAGTATTTAGTTTAAAATCTTCAAATTCTGCAGAAAACTTTGAATCTCATGTGTAGTTAAGTCCAATGAGCCTGAAAATTTGACTATAAACATAATCCATAACCAGCAATGACATTTCTAAAGCTGTCTGAACTGAGACTCCTCCCCACTATCTGACCTGACGTCTGGCTCATCTGGTTTTTATACTGTTGCTTCATCATGCATCATAGTGGGCGGGGCCATCCATCACGCAACGGTGCTACTGAGCTAGAAGGATTTACTACACTGACTAGAGAGGCAGCTATTTGCCACAGAATGGAGCTGGAACTGGAGCCTGAAACTCAGTTCTTTCTGTGGTTTCCCAACAACCAGCATAGCCAGAGTGGATGAACTGGCTGCAGCCTGCAGTGATATCAGGACTCAAGTCAGCTGTTCTTTTCCAGACCCCCTTAATCCTCCATCATGTGGGATGAAGTTCTGTTTTTTCTCACACCCCAGGAGAAATGCTTTGTTTAAAGCTCCGCCTCCTTAGATCACCGTAGATCTCTGCTCTTTAACTCGACCTTGGTAATTTTAAACAGATGCAGTAAATCCTCTGATCCAAAACAATCATTTCATATTCCAGTTTTTGTTCTCCTGTTATACTGAGGCAGAGTTCAGCTGTTTTTATATTTCCTGTCCATTGTTGTCGTTAACGTCATTAGGGAGGAATGTTTAGTCCTGTAGGCCGCTCTGGCTGCTGCCTGTTCCTGACTTGCTTTTTTCTATTTGCAGGGTTTCTGGACTGGGTTCCTAAAAAGATGCAGCGTGTCGGATGCATGGAGCTGCTCAACACGGTTCAGAGGAGGGTTCAGCCTAAATTACACGTGTTTGGACACATTCACGAAGGTAAACACGCCTGGCTGTTTATAAAGAGACCTTCATCTGTAGGACGACATGCCTTAAAGAATGTCCTCCTGCCTGCTTATGAGCTGCTGCTTCCTCCTCTATCATCCACCCAGGCCAATGAGGCCAGATAGGCAGCTCCCTGTGCTGAGGATTGCTGTTTTCCGGGTTATCAGGTCAGCGTTGGCCTGGAGCAGCATTCCCTGATCAGAGGCAGCCAGATTAGAAAGTAGATCAGCTCCCCTAAAAGCAGAAATGCCCTGAGAGCAGCGTTCCTCCTTATTCAGAGGATTAAAGGAGGACATTTTAGAAGAAGTCTGGCTTCAGTCCAGAGATGGGTCTATAATTCAGAGAGAACTTTCCCCCTCAGGGTGACTTATGTCATTTTTGCGTCTCTACATAAGCTCAGGTTCTTCCAAAGGATTCAGACAAAACTCACACATGGCTCTGGTTCACACTGACCACGTTCTGTGGATCAGAATCAGGTTTCCTTCCTCACTCTCGAAATCCAGGCTCCTCTGAAGGGATAGTGATAGAATGAGGCCTGAGAACATCACATGCTAGTTTCAGGCCTGAAACCTGAGCCACTCTAACTATAAGCTTTATCAAAAAGGAAAGTTTTAAGCCTAGCCTTAAAAGTAGACAGGGTGTCTGCCTCACGGACTAAAACTGGTAGTTGGTTCCACAGGAGAGGAGCCTGATAACTAAAAGATCTGCCTCCCATTCTACTTTTAGAAATTCTAGGAACCACTAGTAAACCTGCAGATTGAGAGCGAAGTGCTCTGTTAGGAACATAAGGAACAATCAGATCTCTGATATCAGATGGAGCTCGGCCATTTAAGGCTTTATATGTGAGAAGGAGGATTTTAAATTCTATTCTGGATTTAACAGGAAGCCAATGAAGAGAAGCCAGGATAGGAGAGATATGATCATTTCCATCAGAACTTTGGCTGCAGTCAATCTGCCTAGTAGCTTGAGGCTGTCTGCTTCCTGTAGACCTTCCTAACGCTGCATCCGGTCTTCTTCTTTGGACCAGATCAACGTTCAGTTGAAGGTGATGTTTATAACTGAGGTTTTGCTCCAGGAAACAGACCTCCCAATAATTTATGCAGTGAAAGTCGCTCCATGTATACTTTGTGTGTTTTCAACTAACTCAAACTGATCATTGATCAGTATTTGAACTAGAAAAGGTGACCTAATGATGTCCACATATTTACTGTAGTAACAGGAAGGAAAGCAGATTAGCAGAGGTAATCTGGGTTATTTGTTCATGTTCATGATGACAAACTAGTCTGACCTGAATCACAAAGTTCAGATTCAGTTCTGTTGAAATAAATCCGTTTAGTTGTCATTTTTGCTGTTTCGGGGCTTTTCCTTTAAGTCAGATGAACTGAAAAACATGAATGAATTCAGCTGCTTTTTACTTTTTAATTCAGATTCTTCCTTTTCTTCTTTGTTCCTTCTGCCTGTTGTTTTTAGGCTATGGCATGATGACAGACGGCACCACCACGTTCATCAACGCCTCGGCCTGCACCGTTAACTTCCTCCCCATGAACCCCCCCATCGTCTTCGACCTTCCCAACCCTAGATCCACATGACTAGAACAGACTGGACCCCAAAGCAGCGGTGGAGAGAAAGGGGCCCCAAACAGGCAGCTGTATCTGCAGGGCTGTGCAGGTGGAGCCGTGTAGATATAATCCAGGTGTGTTTCCGGACTGTGAGAGGGGCGGATGATGGACGCTTCCTCCGTCTCTGCGTTTCTCCATCTGCTATAAGCTGATGGGGAACCTTCTCATGCAGAGACGCCTTGAAAGGCAGACATTTTCTACCAGCTCTGTGTCCTTCTGCTCTGACAATCTGAGGCTGCTGATGGAGGCATGAAGACGCTGCTTCATTCTAACAAACACTAAAACGGCCCCACTCCTCCTACTGCTCCTCCTCCTCCTGCTCCTCCTCATCATCATCGTCGCTGCAGAGCTTTGGCTCAGCAGCTGTGGAACGTTTCTGACCCTCTGTCCCTTTTATAATCCCCCTGCCCTGTCAGACACTTCCTCTCCTCTCCTCTCCTCTCCTCTCCTCTCCTCTCCTCTCCTCTCCTCTCCTCTCCTCTCCTCTCCTCTCCTCTCCTCTCCTCTCCTCTCCTCTCCTCTCCTCTCCTCTCCTCTCCTCTCCTCTCCTCTCCTCTCCTCTCCTCTCCTCTCCTCTCCTCTGTAAAGTTCCTCCATTCATGCTGTTTCTATGCTGTGATTTTACGCTGTACATATCAGTGGGTGCAGAAAGTATTCAAACCCCTTTAACTTTTAGAAATAAAAATAAAATGGCTGCAATGACTCAACGAGTGAGAAATTTAAAGGGGTGTGAATGCTTTCCGTACCCACTGTATCTGTGGTCGTTGCTACTAATAATGTAAATGCTTGTGGTGATATTTCCTCCTTCTGTTGGTCCATATCGACTGATTAATTCTTTCATGTCTTTTGTATCTAAATGGAGATCAAATGTTTTCAATCTTTGGGTTTTTACGGCCCAGTGGTGGAGCTGAGCCTCTGTCCTCCGCTGCCCTCTTCCCTCCTCAGCACTTTACAACATGTTGCACAACAGCCAGAAGGAAAGGTTTGTTTCTCTTGTTCCTCTCAGGCATCCTGCCAGCAGACCATTCTGCAGAACAGCTCCCACTTTATTTCTGGACAACGTTCAGTCGCTACGATTCTCTGGAGGTGCTAAGTTATTCTGGTCCCTGTGAGGGTTAGAGTCGCCTTATTAGAAAGGCTGGAGAGAGGAGCTGCTGCACAAGTGAGAGAGTCAGAATCCAGATGTTTTCTGCAGCCTTGGATCTGATTGGTGGCTGCAGGTTTGGACCATCCGGCTTCTCTAACAGGCTGAACAAACCGTCCTAAAGGGTCTAATTAATTGGTCAGTAGAAGCTGCTGCTGAGCTGAAGGTTACCGGCTCAGAACCAAAGCTGATCTCTACCTTCCTCAGCTGGTCAAAAAACACCAACAATGACCTGAGACACAGAAAATAATCTGACCCCAGACACAGAAGATCTCAGCAGTTCAGCAACTCGGCATAAAAACAAATTTTTTTTCTCATAGTTGGATTTTTACTGTTCTGTAGTGAAATATTAGAAAAATGCTGAGAGCAGGGAAATGATGACTTGACTGTAATCTGGTTTTTATCTATTTACCATCATAAACATGGATACTAATGTCTTCTTAATCCAGATTAAGGCGAGGAGCCTTTGGTTAGGCTCCGCCCCCCTGGATGCTGCCCAAACAAGTTAGAAAATATGTTTAATTTATAATTCTTATTGTAAATTAATTTAGTTTCGCTAAACAAACATCAGAACCAAACTTTTCACTGGAAGTTAATATTTTGCTTGTTTCTATCAATGAAGGAACCTGGACTAAAAATAGTAACAATTTTATTTTTTATTTTTAAATGATATTTTATTCCTTTCAAACTCTCAGAGTTCCTGTTCAGCAGTGGGTTAGTGGAGCAGATTATGAAGGCTGACAGGAAGCTCCTGAGATGGAAAGAAGGAAACGTTGGAAACTGGAGAATGATTGAAAGGAGAAGGATTTCAAAATAAAATGTAGAAGATGAAACTGATCCCTGATGACTTTCACATTAAAATGCTGCATTATTGAATTACAGGAAGTGAGAGAAAAACTTCCACGGGTTGAAAAATCTTCTTTAATAGTAGAAACAAAGACCTTCATGGAGCAGATTAAAGCAGGATGGAATCATTTATTATCATTTATAAGCTTATCTATCAGCTCTGTAGATTCCACTGTTGTTTAAATTGATGGTATTTATCTCTCTTAGAGACGTCATGAGAAGCACCGAACCAACCAGAGACCATTTCTAAGATCCACGCTAACACTGCTCAGCTCAGATAGCAAGTTTACCCAATATCACCAGCTGTGCTTAACCAGCTAATCTAACCTGAACCCATAAAGTTAAACATCCAGCAGGACTTTAGCTGCAAGGCAACATCTTGGTGCAGAAAGATGGAAGTTTGTTGATTTCTTTTAAAATAATGATTGGAAACGTCTGAGTGCCTTTAACGCAGCCATGGTTGGCTCTAAATAAACAGATGAGCACGTTAGACGGTGGAGAGGTGGAGGTTAGGGCTGCTGCTCCAAAGAATACATTCAGAAAGAGAAAGTTTCCAGATAGTCAAAGATTGGCCTCCATGGAACATCCCAGGTCAGAATCAATGCTGAATGTTTAAAACATTTCAAAAACATCTGGATGATCCCAAAGAATCTGGAAGTCTGTGGATAGACCTGACAGACGTGGCCTTTGAGAAGCCAAGTGTCCTTCCACATCAGGTGGAGCTGACCTCATGCAGACGATGTCCTTGGTTGCTCTGCTGCTGGAAGGATCATGACTGGGAATCAGTTTGGGATTATAGGTTCAAACAGCTGTCAGGCTCACATCAGATGCTTTGGATTCACGCTTAGATCACTTCTCCTCCTAATGTGGGCCTGAAGAATCAAAGGAACCAATCAGAAGATTGGCTGATGACAGTTTTATACATGAGACCAGGTTGACGTTTGAAAGAACTGAACAGCTTATCTCGGTATGATTCAAATGTTTTAAAACTGTTAGCATGTGGCGGCATGCATCAGCTGCTTCCTAACTGTTCAATCTTTGCAGTATTAAAGCGTCTGTCTGGTAGGGTGCTAAAGACAGGAGGACTGGGCCTGAATGTGGGACAGTAGAAGTGAACGAATGTCATTGGTTGGAAGGAACAAAGACTAAATGTGACAAAGTTTTCATTCAGAGCGGTTGGAGAGTCGGACGCTGTTCCTCCCTGAACACTTTGCTAACGTGCTTCCTGTTTGATCCACAAGCAGAACCGTGGTGCTTATTGACTTGTTTCTTCTCCGCTCAGAGGAAAAGGACTTTTGCTCCTCAGACAATCTCTGCTTCCTGTCCCATCTAGCGGTGAAGAAAGGCGGAGCCTCCACAGCGGATGGATGGACAGCAGACTAAGAGAGGGACTGTTTGCTGCCTGTATATTTTACCTTTCAATATTACTGGATGTTTAAGAGCAATTTTGATGAATGAATGTACAACCTTCTGAGATTAAAGTCTTCATTTACTGTTAAACATCTTTTTCATCTTTGTTGAGGACATTTGGACGAATGGAGACGTCCATTACATCCAGCAGCTACCTTTTCATAGAATCCGATAAGGCTGCTGTGGTTATGAGGCTCCTGTCAGCATCAAATAAAAGCTTATCAGTGATCAGCAGGTTATGTCTCCTTCTTTCCCCAATCAGAGCCTTTTAGCAGATTAACAGAAAACATTTTGAAGACATCAGGTATGTTTCCTCAGCTCTGAGGAATCTGGGTCTGCTATCAACCACAGAGGTCAAAGTATCTTTTTCATTTCTGATAGCTAAGGCCTCTCTGATCTTTCCTGCCTCCCTTTTCCACACCTTTGGATATTCTGATGAGAAACCTCCTTCAAATAATTACCTTCCTAATCCCAGGGGAAAGCGAGTCATTCTTCTCAGAGGGGGTTTTACTCTACCTCTATTAGCTTTCATATGCTCCATTCAGCTTCCTCTTTCTCACTCCGCCTCTCCATCTACCACTTTGTAATCTCTTTCTCACTTCATCTTTCCTAGTTCTGTCTGCCAATCCTTCCATTAGGCTCCTCGGATAATGACTCCTTATGCTTGCAGTACCAATCACACAGCTCCATTTCCTTTAGGGGATTCGTTTTTCTGGATTCCACATTCAGTTCTTCTCCAAGACCAGTCAAAAGTTTTGGTTGTCACATCTGAATATTTTAGATCATAAAGGATATATGAATAGTATACAAAAACAACCTGAGATCATATAGAAGAGTTTTCTGTTTTACTCGAGACAATTTCATCTTATTCCAATTGATTTCATATGAAGGGAAAACTGGCAAGAACAAGTTTTTTTAATTTCAAAGAACATCTTAATTGGACAGAAGGTCCAAACTTTGACTAGGCCATTCTACCACCCTCCTGCACTGTAAAAACGATCTAGAAATAAGTAAAAATTTCTTAAATTAAGTGTATTTACCCTTGATTTAAGTAGGTAAATGAGATAGTTTGCCAATGGAATCAGTATTTTTACACTTAAAATAAGATAATTAGATAATATTCACTTGAAATAAGACAATGCAATTGTGTTTTCTTATTTTAAATCTAAATTGAACAAATGCACTTATTTCAAGAAAAAATTACTTATCAAGATTTTGATTTTTTGCAGTGTGGGTGTTGATCCTTTTCTGCATTTCATAGTGCCGGGATCATAGAGCCAGGACCATGGTGCAGGGGATTATAGTGCAAGGATCATAGTGTGGGGGATCATAGTGCAGGGCTCATACTGCAGGGCCCATAGTGCAGGAATCATAGTGCAGGAATCATAGTGCAAGGCTCATACTGCAGGGCTCATAGTGCCAGGATCTTAGTGCAGGGCTCATGGTGCAGGGATCATAGTCCAGAGATCATAGTGTGAGAAATCATAGTGCAGGGCTCATATTGCCAGGATCAGTGTGCAAGGCCCATAGTGCAGGTCTCATTGTGCCAGGATCATGGTGCAGAGATCAAAGTGCACAGCTCATAGTGCCCAGATCATGGTGCAGAGATCATAGTGCACAGCTCATAGTGCCAGGATCATGGTGCAGGGCTCATAATGCAGGGCTCATAGTGCCAGAGTCATGGTGCAGGGATCCTAGTACAAGGATCATAGTGCCAGGATCATAATGCCAGGATCATGGTGCAGAGATCATAGTGCAGGGCTCATAGTCCCAGGATCATTGTGCAGGGATCATGGTGCATGGATTATAGTGCAGGGCTCATAGTCCCAGGATCATTGTGCAGGGATCATAGTGCCAGGATCATGGTGCAAGGATCATAGTGCAAGGATCATAGTGCAGGGATCATAGTGCAGGGTTCATAGTGCCAGGATGATGGTGCAGAGATCACAGTGCAGGTCTCATAGTGCCAGGATCATGGTGCAGGGATCATAGTACAAGGATCATATTGCACGGCTCATAGTGCTGAGATCATAGTGCAGGTCTCATAATGCCAGGATCATGGTGCAGATATCATAGTGCACAGATCATGGTGCAAGGATCAAAATGCACAGCTTTTAGTGCCAGGATCATGGTGCAGAGATCATAGTGCATGGCCCATAGTGCCAGGGTCATGGTGCAGGGACCATGGTACAAGGATCATAATGCACAGCTCATAGTGCCAGGATCATGGTGCAGAGATCATAGTGCAGGTCTCATAGTGCCAGGATCATGGTGCAGGGCTCATACTGCAGGGCTCATAATGCAGGGATCATAGTGCATGGCCCATAGTGCCAGGGTCATGGTGCAGGGACCATGGTACAAGGATCATAATGCACAGCTCATAGTGCCAGGATCATGGTGCAGAGATCATAGTGCAGGTCTCATAGTGCCAGGATCATGGTGCAGGGCTCATACTGCAGGGCTCATAATGCAGGGATCATAGTGCATGGCCCATAGTGCCAGGGTCATGGTGCAGGGACCATGGTACAAGGATCATAATGCACAGCTCATAGTGCCAGAATCACGGTGCAGAGATCATACTGCAGGTCTCATAGTACCAGGATCATGGTGCAGGGCTCATTGCAGGGCTCATGATACAGGGATCATAGTGCATGGCCCATAGTGTCAGGGTCATTGTGCAGCGACCATAGTACAAGGATCATAGTGCATGGCTCATAGTGCCAGGATCATGGTGCAGAGATCATAGTGCAGGTCTCATAGTGCAGGGATCATAGTGCATGGCCCATAGTGCCAGGGTCATGGTGCAGGGACCATGGTACAAGGATCATAATGCACAGCTCATAGTGCCAGGATCACGGTGCAGAGATCATAATGCAGGTCTCATAGTACCAGGATCATGGTGCAGGGATCATAGTGCAAGGCTCATAGTGCAGGGCTCATAGTGCCAGGATCATAGTGAAAGGCCCATAGTGCAGAGCTCATAGTCCCAGGATCATAGTGCAGGGCTCATGGTGCAGGGATCGTAGTCCAGAGATCATAGTGTGAGAAATCATAGTGCAGGGCTCATATTGCCAGGATCAGTGTGCAAGGCCCATAGTGCAGGCCTCATATTGTCAGTATCATAGTGCAAGGCCCATAGTGCAGGTCTCATTGTGCCAGGATCATGGTGCAGAGATCAAAGTGCACAGCTCATAGTGCCCAGATCATGGTGCAGAGATCATAGTGCACAGCTCATAGTGCCAGGATCATGGTGCAGGGCTCATAATGCAGGGCTCATAGTGCCAGAGTCATGGTGCAGGGATCCTAGTACAAGGATCATAGTGCCAGGATCATAATGCCAGGATCATGGTGCAGAGATCATAGTGCAGGGCTCGTAATGCAGGGTGCGTGGCCCATAGTGCCAGGGTCATGGTGCAGGGACCATAGTACAGGGCTCATAGTCCCAGGATCATTGTGCAGGGATCATGGTGCATGGATTATAGTGCAGGGCTCATAGTCCCAGGATCATTGTGCAGGGATCATAGTGCCAGGATCATGGTGCAAGGATCATAGTGCAGGGATCATAGTGCAGGGTTCATATTGCCAGGATGATGGTGCAGAGATCACAGTGCAGGTCTCATAGTGCCAGGATCATGGTGCAGGGATCATAGTACAAGGATCATATTGCACGGCTCATAGTGCTGAGATCATAGTGCAGGTCTCATAATGCCAGGATCATGGTGCAGATATCATAGTGCACAGATCATGGTGCAAGGATCAAAATACACAGCTTTTAGTGCCAGGATCATGGTGCAGAGATCATAGTGCATGGCCCATAGTGCCTGGGTCATGGTGCAGGGACCATGGTACAAGGATCATAATGCACAGCTCATAGTGCCAGGATCATGGTGCAGAGATCATAGTGCAGGTCTCATAGTGCCATGATCATGGTGCAGGGCTCATAATGCAGGGATCATAGTGCATGGCCCATAGTGCCAGGGTCATGGTGCAGGGACCATGGTACAAGGATCATAATGCACAGCTCATAGTGCTAGGATCACGGTGCAGAGATCATACTGCAGCTCTCATAGTACCAGGATCATGGTGCAGGGCTCATTGCAGGGCTCATGATACAGGGATCATAGTGCATGGCCCATAGTGTCAGGGTCATTGTGCAGCGACCATAGTACAAGGATCATAGTGCATGGCTCATAGTGCCAGGTTCATGGTGCAGGGACCATAGTACAAGGATCATAATGCACAGCTCATAGTGCCAGGATCATGGTGCAGAGATCATAGTGCAGGTCTCATAGTGCAGGGATCATAGTGCCAGGGTCATGGTGCAGGGACCATGGTACAAGGATCATAATGCACAGCTCATAGTGCCAGGATCACGGTGCAGAGATCATAATGCAGGTCTCATAGTACCAGGATCATGGTGCAGGGCTCATTGCAGGGCTCATGATACAGGGATCATAGTGCATGGCCCATAGTGTCAGGGTCATTGTGCAGGGATCATAGTGCAAGGATCATAGTGCAGGGCTTATAGTGCAGGGCTCATAGTGCCAGGATCATGGTGCAAGGATCATAATGCACAGGTCATAGTGCAAGGATCATGGTGCAGGGCTCATAATGCAGAGATCATAATGCAGGTCTCATAGTGTCAGGATCATGGTGCAGGGCTCATAATGCAGAGATCATCGTGCAGGTCTCATATTGCCAGGATCATGGTGCAGGGATCATAGTATTAGGATCATATTGCAGGGCTCATGCTGCAGGGCTTATAGTGCAGGGCTCATCGTGCAGGTCTCATAGTGCCAGGATCATGGTACAGGGATTATAATACAAGGATCATGGTGCAGGGATCATAGTGCAGGGCTCACAGTGCCAGGATCATTGTGAAGGGATCATAATGCACAGCTCATAATGCCAGGATCATGGTGCAGGGATCATATTACAGGGCTCATAGTCCCAGGATCATTGTGCAGGGATCATGGTGCATGGATTATAGTGCAGGGCTCATAGTCCCAGGATCATTGTGCAGGGATCATGGTGCATGGATTATAGTGCAGGGCTCATAGTCCCAGGATCATTGTGCAGGGATCATAGTGCCAGGATCATGGTGCAAGGATCATAGTGCAGGGATCATAGTGCAGGGTTCATAGTGCCAGGATGATGGTGCAGAGATCATAGTACAAGGATCATATTGCACGGCTCATAGTGCTGAGATCATAGTGCAGGTCTCATAATGCCAG